GTTTGTACATTTTTTAGCGTGCGCAGTGAAATAGCTCACGTTTTTATACAAGCAAACCTTTGATAGATCCGGCCCTAAATCTGATAAGTGACTATACATGGGCTGATTACTGCTTTAAGGCATATCAAGGCTTTAGGAGATAATGATTTCATAGCTGCTTAAGTTCTCTGCTGTACCATTTTACATTAAAACAACAGGTCAAAGAAGGTTCAAAGGACAGTAGTTTCTACGTCAGTATGAAACAGAATAAAATACAGCAGCCCCTCCTCCACCTTTTATAGCAGACTGCTGAATGCAAACTCATTTAAGTGTCCTGCACTTTACCATACTCTATAAGAGTATATATATATATATATATTTTATCCTGACAATTAATTTCTTTGTAGTTTGACTCTGTGCTGTGCAACTTGCTGTTCACTACTTTCCAAAATAAACAGTCTTTCAAGATGATAAAAAGTGAAATTTGACACTGCGCCTTTAGTTATAAAACTAAGAAAATTAGGTATAAGGAAGTTATCATCCATAAAATATACTGGTGAAGGTTCTCAGTCATCCAGGTTATAGTCATTCCAAAAAAAAAAAGAAAAACAATCCACTGGACTTTGTTTCCATGTTTGAAGACGTTTTGCTTCCCATCCAGGAAGTTTTTTTAATTCAAAATGTCAGGAATAGCGTTGACTTCAAGGTTTTATACAGTAGCCAAACAAAGCATTGTTTTAGTTTTGAAACAGCAGGAGTTATTCTTCTACTTGAGCAATAAACATTAATACTTTTGACACCTCTGATGTTAAACACACTGTGAAAAGGCAGTTAATCCCATAAAATTACTTATATGTGATGCAATTGAAGTTTTAAATGGACTGTATGATATTATTTTGTATATATGTAAAACAAGTCAGTGTCTAATACATATAGAAAATCCCAATTTTAGCTCTGTGTAGTGAACCCCCTGAGAGGCTGATCCCCTAGGTTGGGAATCACTAAATTCAATTTTCTTCAATTTGAGTTTTTTTCTGCAACTTTTTTTGTGTAAAAACTGTTAAGTACTTTAATAAAACAGAGAATGCGTTACAGTTCACAACTCTGAGCTGATTAATCTTACAAATACTCAACATTGTATTTAGCCCAGCATGGTGTGTTTGGTTAAAAGACTGGGTGAAACTTAGAGCTAATTGCCTTATCAGCATGTGTTTTGCCAGCTCCCTGTTGTTTGTTCTGTACTCTCAAGCAGACCTTTTCTATCACTGCTTTGTAGAATGTTAATTTCTCTTTTGAAATTTTTAAATATATTTACCAGTCGCCTTCATTCAGAGGGCGTACTGTAGGGGGAATCAAACATGACAGCAGCTGCAGCAACACCAGCAGATATTTTTAAGTTATATTAATCCAATGCTCTGTCCTCCTAGCTAATAAAAGATGCCACCTGTACTGTCAGTCGAAGGAGACCTCAGACGTGGCATACATGAAGCAGCTGGTACATGATGGGACACGATGCTCATACAAAGATGCCTACAGTATCTGCGTGCGTGGAGAATGCGTGGTGAGTTAAAAGAACATAGTTTAGTTAAGTAGGAAAACATAGTGTGTCTGTAAACCCACTTTACCCTGATAAATCTAAAAATAATATGGTGCAACTAATACCTTTCAGAATTCAGTCTGGTAGTTAATAGTTTTAGCAGATTTAGGTTTAGGTTATAAAGCAATATTCCAGAACTTCAAAATCTGAGAGTTTTTCTCAGTGAATAATTTGATATTTTTTGCAGATCTCGTAGCAGAACTGCAAACCTACTAAATTAGAGTCATCCATCTAAGCTGGCCAAAGAATGGTATAAATATGTGAAAATTATCATTTTAAACAGAAGCTTTTGCATAAAATGCAGCTAAGGTGTCCATGGTAACACTAGTGGAGCTGCAGGTATCCACTGCCAAGGTTAAAGTTTCTGGACATAGAGCAACTACAGTAGCAGCCATTCAGAAGGGCCCTTCCCATTCAAATGCCGGCCGAACTCCATCCAACTGCCAGCGTAATCCCCTCCAACTTCCAGCCAGTGGACTCCTTTGGGCGAGCATATTTTTTTTACTCTGACTCCAACCTTTCACCCAATTACAGTGTCTGACTGTGAGATATGCTTCTCTTTTGATCTTAATGTCCACAAATCATGACAGAAAGAATATTTAAGTACAAAGATTGATGTTTAAAAAGGAATTGTAGAGGACCGACCAGCTAAGGGCCCATCAAGGAAAGTGGTGAAATCTTGAATGGCTACTACTGTACTACTACTGTATTAGTTTTGCAGTTCAAAAATATGTGCTTTATAAACATGAAATATGAAAACAAGATCTCCATCCTCTCTGACTTGGGCTGCGTTATTTTAAAAAGAAAAAGATAAACTTTTAGTAGGTAAATATGTAAAACTTGAGTAACATATATCACAAGCTTAGTGCTGTAACTGTAGCCCAGGGTAATTCTCCCAAGGCCTTACAACAACTGTGCACCATCCTATTTAAAGTGGGAATGAATCGATGAATAAAACTAACTTAATTGACAAGATTATTTCTTGCTATTTTCAATAATTATATTATAAACTTGAAAAATATACATGTAAAAGAAAAAAAACGTACATTTTTGGCACAGGCACTACCATGTTGCATTGACATTATAATAGCAGATTGACTCAATTATCGTGGGCATCGTTGAACAGCAGCTACAACAGGTAGCATTGCCAGCATGTACCTTCCAAAACACATGTACCGGTGTCAGATATCCCACCTAAGCGCAACATCATAGCGTTCTCTATCTGCAACCTGTGACGTGCCATCAGTTTGCTCTCTGCTTTGCTACAAGATAGGATGAATCATCGGGTTGGACAGATAGCCAGAAGATTATAATATCACAGCCACAGCTGCTGTTTTTCCCTTACTACAGCTCGACTCATACGCCCCATGGACTCAAAAGCATACAGTAAGCAATCTGATTCAGACACTAGAGTGTCCTTTTAGCTTTGTCTCCCATCATAAAAAAATTCTTAAGTGTTTTACAGTTGTGTTGAATCACTGGTATTACCAATATATTCAACTGGAAATACAAGCGAAACCTCAGAGCGAACAAACGCACTGACATCACCGTTTGGTTTACTGCAATGTGACGGTACCTTTGGAAAGAAATGATCAAATAATACTAAATGTTTTCTTTTTACATTTATATTTTTCACTGTTATATTGTGTCTAATAGTAAGACACAATCTCATTAATTTAGTTAGTTTGGTTAACCGTTTCATTTCCACTTTATGTTTGATTTATTAATAGTGAACACCACTGCATTGCTGTATTACTTTCTGATGATCTTTTCTGTTTTATAAAATCTCAATTACATACATTGGACTCGGGTCATAACTTCTGAAAGTAAATATTTCTAATAGGTTCTGTGAATCAGTTAGAGTACTGAAGGATAATGATATGTAAAAGTTTTTATTCAGTGTCAGGTTCAATCTTATATGCAAGATCTTATGAGCAAGGAAGCTATTCTTTCAAAGGCATATTTTCGGACTGTGACAATAAAAAAAAATGGAAATGGCTTTAAACATGAATTAGTTTTCAGTAGATCAAAATTGTTTTTTATTCCGTTCTTCAGAAGGTCGGCTGCGACAGAGAAATCGGCTCCAACAAAGTTGAGGACAAATGTGGTGTTTGTGGTGGAGACAACACCCACTGTAGAACCATGAAAGGAACCTTCACCAGGACACCAAAGAAACCAGGTAAGAACACAAGGAAACAACCAGCCCTCAAATTTCTTAAACACAGACGCTGCTGTATTGAACTGCTAAATGCAAATTTTGTTTTTCAATTATAAGAACTCTGGTGGCTTATTTAGGCAAGTAAAAATCATTAAAAGAAATTTCTGATTAGTTTTACTGTGATTTTTTTTGAAAGACAAGCACAAAGTAACAGATAAATGTAAAGAAAGATTAAAAGGGTTTTGCACCTTTTTTTCTAATAAAAATCTGAAAAGTGTGGCATTTGTCTAAGCAGTAGTAGCCATTAAAAATTTCCACACTTTCCTTGATGGGCCCCTGGCTGGTCCTTAGCTGGTCCCCTACAATTCCTTTTTAAACATCAATATTTCAAAGAAAATATTTTATCATGATTTCTGGACATTAAGATCTAAAAAGAAGCTTCATCTCCTGGATGATGTTGGAGGGGATTTCGCTGGAAGTTGGAGGGAAGTGGGCTGCCATTCGGCTGGCTTTTCACAGAGAAGGGCAATTTTGAATGGCTGCTACTGTACTACATAGAAACATTCCCATACCATAATGCTCCTGCTCAAGCAGGCTTAATTCTGGTCTCACACCTTCTCTGAAGGAACTTTTGTGTTTCAATAGAGGCCCTGAAACCTGAAAGATGTTAGTTGAATTCCAGCATTCTCCTGCTAAATGTTTATATCCCCCTAGGTCTAGTGATCTGAGTATCAGTGTATGAATGTGTGTAGTTGGGAGTGCAACTGGGGGACTGTGGCTCTAGTGTAAAAAGGTAATAAATAGTCAACTAGAAAACACTGCAAGGATAAACTTATTTTTCAACCCAAACTATTTTGGGTAAATGCCCTAATTTTTGTGGTTTTCCATCGATATTTCATACATTTTTTGCTCATAACCCCTTTTAATTATACGTGAGGAATAGAAAACAAAGTCAAAATAAGTGAAATTCCTAATTTGACTAATATTGTAATTCTGATAGCACATGTTTGGAAAATCTAAATATGATAAAAGTTTCATGTATTCCAGGTATTGTTATTATAATGGTTTTACTTGGTTGGATTGACCATTAAATTAGGCTGGCTTAAACTCCATAAACAATCTAATGCGTATTGTACAGAGGAAGATGAGACAACTAAGTCGACAATACAGATAAGTTGAATGTCTCTAATAAAGCTCAAATTGCTCATCACATCAGATACTTTTAGCCACAGGCTGATATCCCCCATGTGATGCTGCTTTGTTGCTGTGACAGACTGGAGATTGGGGCTAGAACCTTTCACATGACTATATTGATGTGTTGGCATGGCCTAGTCAAAGTCCTTACCAGCAGCCAAATGGGGACCGTTTGATAAGAACAGTATGGATCCAGCTGAGCAGGGGCCTGTCTCCATCTCAAATGTCTAATCCCTGAGGGACCTCATAGTACATCAGGGAAGAGCACTGAGCAAAATAAATACAGACTCACTGGGCTGGAGACGGACAGCCAGAGCATCCATGTGGAATCTGAACAGCTGACAGCACAGAGGGTTATGAAGACTTTAAAAACGATGCCCAGAGATGTTCTCCATCTTATATGAAATTGTGCTATTTTACAAAGAAGAACAGGGAAAAGGTTAGATTTCAAAAGATTCTCTGCGGCTTCTAACAGAAACTCAGGGAATGTAAATGCAGTGAAAATAAACACAGGTGATTTGTTATAATTTAGTCTTTGTATTAGTATTATTTTTAATTTAAATATTCTGCTATGTTGTGTTTGTATTTATATATTTATTATGTTTTTTTTAGACCAAGCCAAGTGAGTGTCAGTGAGGATTAGCACATTAGCTAGCTCATCTAGATTTACATTTAACTTAATGTTATCTCAAATAAATAAAAAAGACAATTTACAATATACTCTTTAAAGGAACACATTAAAACTAAAAGGGTTTGTCTGGATAATGATGAATTACAGGAGTGAATAAAAAAAAACATGCCCCACTTTTCATGATTTTTGCTACTTAAAATTTCTAAAACTATATTTTTGACTTGTTCTAATTAGTTGAT